AGTGCATAAATCAACAGCATATACCAAAGGAGAAAAGTGAAGTGCATATAGGGTGAAATGATTGATAAGGCACATTGTATTTCACTTAATTGTTGATGGAAAAATAGGAACTTAATATTAGAAATGATTTAAATAGTTAAATAATAATTTTTTTAAATTAAAAGTAAAATGTTTTAAATTTTAACCATATAACATGTTAATAGAGTTGATTAAGAAAAAAAAAATATTAACTTTCAGTAATCTAAAATAAAATAATAAAAAAATAAAAATAATAATAATGCTGTTTATGCATGGCGGGATAAAAAGGTCACTTCACTTAATTGTCCTACACTTTCCGTTTATTCGTAGAATAGCCAGGCATGGCGGCGCTTCCGCGGGAGGGTTTCTGATAAAATCTGGGGCGCTGCCGATTTGAGATTCACTGCCCGCCGGAAGCCGCCTGAAACATGGGTAAAGCTTCAAGAGATAAGAGAGTGAGTTTTTCTTTTCCGTTGTTATCGGTGTTCTTGTTCTTGCACTTGAATGTTGTGATTCTGCAACTTACAATGGTGGAGTGGTTGCGTATTGCTTGCAGGATATCTACTATCGGAAAGCGAAAGAAGAAGGATGGCGAGCCAGAAGCGCCTTCAAGCTTCTTCAGATTGATGAGGAATTCAACATATTTGAAGGTGAATTGAGAAAATAATTTTGTGTAGCTCCCTGCCAAGAATACAAATGTTTGATCACCCTTTGATTTTCAGGAGTCAAGCGTGTGGTGGATTTATGTGCAGCTCCTGGAAGCTGGAGTCAGGTCTGCATAGCTGTTTGAGAATGTTCCACTGAAAATTTTCGAGTATTAATTCAAAATATATTCTAACTCTTGCTTCTTATGTGTAGGTTTTGAGTCGCAAATTATATCTCCCAGCAAAGCAGTCATCTGATTCAAAGTAAGTTTCTTTGAGTTTTGCTGGTAGTTTTCTGATACTACTACTAGTTTGGCACTAGAATTTCATTAGTGGCTCTGTCCCGGGTTCCGTATCAAGTCTTCCTCTTTACCCAATAAAATGCCAAAGTTAATCCACAGGGCAGTTATTGATGGTGGTCTTCGTGCATACTACCTTCTATTTAGAATGTATCTATTTGGATCATGATTTTCAGGAATGGTGAGCTTCCTCTTATTGTAGCCATTGACCTGCAGCCAATGGCCCCAATTGAAGGTGTAATCCAAGTTCAGGGTGATATAACTAATGCTCGAACTGCTGAAGTGGTAAGGAAATTATTTTCCTTTAATTCTTTGTTTTGCACCTGTATGTCCAGGTGATGAGGTGAAGATAAGTTAGGATGCTTGTTGAAACTGACATTGGCAACACAAATTTGTTATGCCAGTGTCTTAGTTCAACTAGAATATATTTTTGCATTCCTTTGGGCTCAAGCAACTAGCCTAGCTTCTCAATCCGTCTAAGGAGTAAACTTTTGTTATTATTAACTTTGAAAATCTTTATAATGAGCATGCATTACTTTTATTAAACATGTACAAAGTATGCCAATGTGCCATGGCTCAGTCTTCATGGGGGGTTATGGATGACCATTTGTCTGAGTTTCCAGTGTGGATTCTGCTTGACATTACCATTTTTATTAATAAATTTCTGCTCCAATTAACTGAGGTTAATATCTTTGGTGTTTACTTTTTTCTTTGTAATTCTTTTTTTTTTTTTTGTTTGCCTTGCAGGTCATTAGACATTTTGATGGCTGTAAGGCTGACCTTGTTGTCTGTGATGGTGCTCCTGATGGTAAAGGGCTGTTTCTGGTTCTTAACTTTTCATTCCTGGCAGACTTGAACCTTGTTCCCATATGATCTGATCAATTTGATCAATCAGGCACCTGCCTAATACACAGCTTTTGTCTCTGCTGATTTGCAGTTACTGGTCTTCATGACATGGATGAATTTGTTCAATCCCAGCTGATTTTAGCTGTAAGTTCTTAGCTTTCTTATTTTGGCCTATGTCTCACATGACCAACTTACTGTTGCAACTTAATTTGTATGCCTCATCATTCAGTAGTTGAAAAATCATGGGGAATTGATATTGCATCTTGTTTGTTTCCAGAATATATGGAAACAGCATGGTTTTCTTGTTCTTCTCCCAATTTATCAACTTATATCTATGCTTGCATATCCATGTTAGTATGTTACTATTGTAACTTGTAACTTCATAAACTAGCTGAGTCTGAATGGTAGCAATACAAAGCAACTGATCCTTTAGCATGAGAAAAGAGTGTTAAGAACTAGTACTCATGCTAATTTGTACCTAGATCTTTTAACATTACAAAGCAACTAATCTAATTAGAAGATTTTGTAACTATAATTTGAAAACACTTCACACCATCTGTTACTGATCTTACAGTAAATTTGTTCTATATTCACATAAGCTGGTCTTTTTCTACAGGGCTTAACAATTGTCACTCATGTACTTAGAGAAGGTGGAAAATTTATTGCAAAGATATTTCGTGGAAAAGATACTAGTCTCCTGTACTGCCAGGTAAATTGACTGCTGTTTAAAACTAACAATGTTAGCATTTTAACTTTGTGGTATATAAGACAGATGTTTGTGATAACAGCCATTTCCTGACACACAAGTTTCTTTAACAATACTTTTGTATTTTAACTTCTCCTATTTAATATTTACTTCTGACATGGATATGATGTTTTGCTGGGAGTCTCGTCTCTATGATTAAAAATGTTGTATGATAACTTTTTTGATCTACCCAAAGTTATAAACTCTCTAAGCTGAAGCTAATAGAAGAAGTCATAGCTCCTTCCTGATTGTGTACAAATGGATGATTCTCTTGCATTAATTGCTGTTAGCAGCATGCTCAAATAAGTTTGTTTCTAGCCACTCTCAAAAACTGTCAACTTAAGTTTTCCAACCTACTACCGTACAGTGAGCCACCATCTTCTTTTTATTTTCTACCCATTCTTGCTCTGAAGAGGTGTCAATAGATATAGTGTTAATATAATTATTTTAGCCTCAATATTTATTTATACTAACATGAAACTCTTGTTTGACTTCTTTCTTGCAGCTGAAATTATTTTTCCCCGTAGTGACTTTTGCAAAACCAAAAAGCAGCCGTAATTCTAGCATAGGTAAGGGTAACATGAAAAGCATATATCAAGGGATGCATTTTCTTTGATAGCTTAGTTTATGAGTTTCATTTTCAGAAATATTCCACCTGACCCACTCTTCTTAGTTCAACTCATTTGAATTGATATAAATTTAAGATTGGAACTTGAGACCCAGCAATGCCATTGCAATCAAAAAATAGTCAAAATGATATCAAATTTACTTGAATAAATGGGAATTGCATTGCATGCCATGTCCAAATCTTTTCCTCAGTTGGTTTGCTGTATTTTGTTCTAGTTTGCTGCTAATACTTATTTTGTTAAAAATGCAGAGGCATTTGCAGTATGTGAAAATTATTCCCCTCCTGAAGGATTTAATCCAAAAGACTTGCATCACCTCCTTGAAAAAGTAGGAAGTCCCTCAGGTGCAGATGATCTTGGTAAGTGATATGGAACATGTTTATATCTTCAGTTTTTGATTATTGTGTCAATATATGAACCTATATTCACATTTTAGGTTTAGATCAAATTGCTTAACAGTCATTACTGGAATTTCTTTCCATGTTGAACTAGTATCATCCAACCTTATCCTTGGTCTGAAAATTGCCCAAGCCTTTTCACACTTTAACCAACATTTGTTTATTTGTTAGACCCTTCATAATTGTTAAGCTCTAACGTTGATATTTAAAGATTCAGGTGAATAAACACAACTAACGTTAGCTGATCATGGTCATTTTCTTACTACCTTCATTTTTGTTCCCATAACAGATTGCAGTAGTGGGTGGTTGGAAGGGCCAAATAAGGTGTATATCCCATTTCTAGCCTGCGGGGACCTCAGTGGGTATGACTCGGACCGTTCATACCCACTACCAAAAGACGCTGACGGAACTTATCAAAGCTTGGACCCCGTCCAGCCTCCTATTGCCCCTCCTTACAAGAGAGCTCTTGAACTGAAGAAGGCTTCCAGTCACGGAATCCGAGAGCTGGAAAAGCTATCCTTGGATTCTTGATTACACACATTTCCTTGTACCTTTAATACAAGCACCAACCATCTCGAGAATCAATTAATTTAGTACAATCAAGTTATTTTTGGAGGGAAGATGGAGTCATGGTGGCCTACTTGTCTTCCAGGAAAATGATTCCCTGGACCAGGAGGAAATTTTTTAGGTTCCATAAAGAATTTGTGTAAGTAAATTATCACATTTGTAATAGCCAGATATTGTTGACATTCAATTTGATAATCAATAGTCTCAGAAATTGACAGCAGTTCGGATAATCACATTGATAGTTACTGGAATTCGTTCGGCTGGCGAGAAAATCATGGTAGAATGCATTCAGTTTCTGCATGCAATTTTCTACATCCAACTGGGAAAAACCTAAAGAATCCTAAATTTGTTACATTTTTTTTTTCTGTAATTTACACCTTTTTCCCGAAGGAAAAAACACAAATTTCTAGCAAGAACATGAAGTGACGGAGTTCGATCTTGACAGAGATGAGGAAGAATTCAAGAACTCGATGCAGTCTTCTATGGCTTCGGCTCTGTGAGAGTCAATGGATTCAGCTAAAGACCGTGACCTAACCAGGTTGGAAGAAGAAACCTTACGTGAAGACTTCCTTGGCTCCGAAAAACTACGTAGAGCTCTTGCCATTTTAGCCCCAAGACGCATCAAAAATCTTGCTGGAGAAAAGCTTGAACTCCTTGGCAGCCTAAACACCCTAAACCCCAATATTCCGACGACCCTCTTCCTGTTTCCTGCTCTTCTAGCACTGCCACCATGTTTCAGGACAATCGTCGGCCTGTCGTAAACGTCGGGGCTGAAGCTCACTTGCTTGCTTGCTTTTCTTGACATAATTGCAATCCTTCAAAGTCCAAATGGGAGAAAGCCGAGAAAGGGAGAGAGACACGAACAAGGAAGAGGGGGGCAATTGGTGAAGTTGTAGAGGGTATTTATGGAGGGGTTGTTATGATTTTGAGTAAAGTGGAAAAGGGGAAAAAAGAAGATACCACAGGAAGAGATAGACTATGGAATTCTGATTGAAATGAGGAATATGTTTTTCTAATTCAGTATTTTTTGAATTATACAATAAAGATAATGAGTACCATTATCTACTTGATCCAGATTAGCGGAACTGAAACTATAATAAACTTGAATTGGCATGGAAGATTGTATATCATATGAATGGTCAAATCAAGAAAGCTGCGAACGAAATGAAACAGAGCATGTTGGGTTTAAGCCAGCCTACTCATTAGTCCTGTGGGGGGCTAAAGTCGGTATGAACAAGATGAATATTTTGGGTACATACGAGAATTACAAACCTAGAAAAATGAGAGGAGGCTGAAAAAGAAGAAAAAAATGGAAAACATTGTTTTTTTTTTTTTTTTTAATAACTTTTTGCAGCGTTGGTCAAAAAACAAAAGGGGGGAATTTGAAGAACACAAAGAGACAAGCACTCGATACTCTTCTTATCAGCGGTGCTTTTGAGGGTGGGGTTGATGATGGACCTACTCATTCCCTTTTTGTTGGCCATTTGTTAATTTCCCAGTTCTGGAAATGGAATTTCCTAGAGATGGTCATGGCCTGGCTTGGTCCCCAGGCCCCGAGACATGAAAAAGAAGGGAATCTGTTTGAATGAGTGTGGGAGTGGGGGCTTGGCCTCAATATTAGGGAACCCATTTCTGTCTTCCTTTTTTTTTAATCTCTTACTTTTGTTTTCTGTTTTTACCACTTTCACAGAGAATTACCTGTTGAAAACTGAAGTATCTCCTGTTCTTTTTTAGGCCATTGACTATTGAAGGGCGCACCAAGACGTGGATAGTGGACCCATGTCGGCTCTTTTAGTTTTGTCCTGGCAGGGCCTTCCAGGGTCCGTCCAAGGGAACTCCTAACAAGTCCTGATTCAGCAACCAGCCCACTAGAACCGGAATTTGTTTTGGACTAAGTGGGCATTTAGAACCCAAACAAGAAAATAGGCTGAAAATGAGCAGGAGTTCCATACGTATTTCTGACCCACTAGCTGATCCATTCTGCTCCCTATTGGAAGTTTATGGAGGCTACCGATCCCAACAGTGAAATTTAATAGAAAAAGAAAAAGAAAAAAAATGCTTAAAAATAAGTCCCTAAGGATATGTTGAGAATGTAAATTTGTTTGTAATTAGTACTATAGGATTTTTTTTTTTTTTGACAAAGGTAACGGTTAGATTAGTAAGGTTAGTAAGGTTAGTATTATTTGTGAGAGGTATTAAATTTAAATCAAATGTACAATCCATCAGTTGTTCTTTTGGGCAGCAATGGCTACCATCGACCACAATGGGAGAATACCATAGGATAATTTTTTTAGGCCGTGCTATATACATTTGCTATTTGATTAAGCCCATAAAAAAAAAAAAAGAAGAAAAAGTTCGAAAGACTTTGTATGCGTATGCGGTTGTTTTCATTGGACAGTTCCCTTTTTAAACGCTTTAGTTTAGTTTATCAATTCTTAGGACATTACCATAAACTTCATTATTTATTTCTGTAATACGATGATCCTTTCACACAGGCTCTTTAGATCTCGCAAAATTAGGTAGTGTGCAAGGGAATCTTGATTAGTATTTAGTATTTAATTAAAAACCCATTTGCCTTGCTCTGTTGATCAAATAATTCATGCCAATGAGTTATTAGTCTGATCCACTTGATAATCAAAGTTTATTAAGCAAAGTATATTCATTGGAATATAACTTAATCACTAGATATTTTTAGCCCGGAAGTCGTCATTGATGATGACCGAATAATAGACAAAAAAAAAATAATTTTATTGAAGAATACGATTGTGAGATTTTATAATAAAATAATATTATAGATAAATTATTTTATTTTTTTCTCAATAACAAGTGAATTATATATGAAATGTAATGAAAATAAAATTTTTTCGTCGAGAACTTATTTTAAAAAAAATAAAATAAAATAGATACTTTTTTCTTTAATTATTTGCTTGATTTCTTTTGCTTCTGGTAACATGTTAGAAGTCTACATATTTGAGCAAAAGCTCATGTTCTTACGGAAATGCTTTACTTTTGTTTGTCATTCACGAAACCCTTAGAGGTTAAATCGTATTTTAGTTCCTAAACTTTCAATTGTAAATACTTTTAATTTTTAAATTATTTTTTATATATTTTTTCTTCATGAATTAGAGAGAGAAAAAAAAAAGAAAACTAAAACTTAAAATTTGTTAATATTTAAAATGTTTGTACTCTTTATAAAGTAATTTAAATATTTTAAATAAATTTTATTATATATTCATTTATTAAAGATATTTAAATAACTTAATAGAAAATCTTAGCAATGTCAAGATGTATGTCCTGCAATCCCTTAGGAAAGAACACTTTTTTCGTTAAATTTATTTATTTATTAAACTAATATATATATTATAAGTTAAGGTCTAAAAATGATATATATATATACATATTTAAGTGATTAATGGACAAATTTTTTTTATAATTTAGAGATAAAAAATATAAAAAATAATTTAAAATTTAAAAATATTTAAAATTTAAAAAATTTAGGAATTAAAAAAACGATATTTAATCAACCTTAAATTAGCGTGTTGGTGCTTGTGTAGGGCCAAAGCAACTAAGCACTTTGCATACGCTTCGTATACTCCTAGGACGTGATTAAAAAAAAAAAAAGAGATGGAGTTGAAAATAAAGAGCTTAATAGATAGCCGTTAAACAGCGGTAAAACACCCAGCCCCCAAGTGCACATACTCGCAGGCTTTGATTTCCCTCTGGAAGGAATGTACACAGCTTGCGTTCCCTTCAATTCCTTCATATTCCTTCAAAAGATTTTACCCTCTCTTGATTCAAAAACCCATCCAACACTCCAGCTTAATTACCTGTAGCACTTTTCTACCATAAATCCCTCTTTCTCTATCTCTCCTCTCTCCTCCACCACCAACCATTCACACTTCTTCCTTGTCCCTCTAAAATTCCGTTCAATTTTTTGCCTTTTGCTTCTTCTTCATTAAAACCCATCAGCCTCATCTGTAAAGGAAGGATCTTGTGTGACTTTATGAGATTAAAGAGTGAAAGAACTCGAAAGGGGAGAAGGGTTTTTGTTGAGTCAACCACAATGACTATTGAAGAGGTGATGATAGAAGAGGAGGAGAGGCTCCCTTTGCTAGATTCTGAAAACCATTCCAGGCCTCTACGCATTGCTCTCTTTGTTGAGCCTTCCCCATTTGCGTGAGTATATTTCTGCCTCTTTACTTGCTATGACTGTAATTGATGATACCCTCTACTTTAATTTGATTCTCCATGTTCTTGTTCATCTTGATTTTGAAGTTTTTCAACTGATGGGCTTTGTTTCAGTGTGATGTTTATCTGTTTGACAATTAATTTTAATTGTAAAGTTGTAACCATAGGATATCGTGATTTTGTTAGTCTTTCTGTTGGATTGAGGAGATTGTTGCTAGTTCTAGTTATAACTGGGTCTTTTGGGTGGTTAGCCCATCTGACTGAGTAGCAAAGAGGCATCTTTACAGTCAATGGCCTTTGGGTTATGCCGGCTGCCAATTATGTGGATTTTGGATGGATTAGGGTCATGCCTCTCCATGGGACCTTCTTACTGTGGATGTGTTAAAACTGTTATATTCAATAGTATGGTACATTTGATTAGTTTTTGTGGTCTTGTAAGCATTCTTTGCTCTGGTCATTGTTCTAGTGGTTTTAATTGATGGAGACCTCTGCATGCATTGGGCTACCAATGGATCATCCTGCTTCTTTTCACTGTTTTCATTCTTCATGTTAAATAATTAATTGTAAAATCTAGTACTGTTTTAATGGTCATATTGTCATTTTTTTGCAGATATATATCAGGGTATAAAAACAGGTTCCAGAATTTTATAAGGTATTTACGAGAAATGGGTGATGAGGTATGTTCTGCAATTTGATTCAAAATGTTACAGTTAGATTACTTGTGGAACAATAAGCAAGCACTTATGTTTCAATGAAGTGCCTGTTTTAGCGTGACTTCATTTTTCAATTATCAATTCACAAACAGCAGACAGCATTTTCTCCCCAATTTCATTATATCTTGTAAATTTCTTTATTTGATGAACTGATAGGTAAGGATTTGATACATCTAGGTAATGGTTGTGACAACACATGAAGGGGTACCCAAGGAGTTCTATGGAGCAAAATTGATTGGATCACGAAGGTTGTTATAATAGTCACCTACTTATTTTGCTAGGCTTTCCTTGTGATTTTTTTTCTTTTAATGCTGACTTGCACTAATATTCTTTTTGAGGCAAAACAATTTCTTAGAACTGGTAAAAGTTTCAAATACTAATATGTAGGTATTAACAACTATGGATGGTGACTGATTTTTATAACCCTTGATAGTGACTCTTTGAGAGGCTTGCTTGTGGTTACAAAGACAAATTTACAAGTAAAACATCTTATGATGGTTAGTTAGATACTCATTGAGTTTCAGTCATGTTCTTGGTGATGTTGATGTATCTTTTTTAGGAAAAATGTGAGGTTTTTACTCATTGACTCTTTGATAAATGTCTATTTTCTTTTAAAATTTCAGAGTCCACATTTTTTTGGCTTTTAATTTTTTCTTCTTCCTATCATTGCAGTTTTCCTTGCCCTTTTTATCCAAAAGTGCAGCTTTCCTTGGCATTTAGCCCTAGAATAATCTCAGAGGTTGCTAGGTTCAACCCTGACATAATACATGCAACATCACCTGGCATAATGGTAAAGTTTTTCTTGCTTTGGTTTCAATTGTTGGTCAATTAAAGTGATTTCTATATGACAAGAGGAACTTTACAAAGTATACTATATGATGCCTGGCTGAACCATACTGCAGGTCTTTGGTGCTCTTGCTATTGCTAAGCTACTAAGTGTGCCCTTAGTAATGTCTTACCACACCCACGTACCAGTGTGAGTTTGATTCTTTGATTTTCTTGACATAAGCATGATATTATTAACTTCATAGTTTATACTCATGGTGGAATGATATACCTAGAAAAATGGTTGATGCTCCTCAAAGCTTTATTGCTATTCTAGCTTCTAAAATGTGTAAACTGGTGTCTGGACTCAAAACTGACCCTTGTGTTTCTCTGCAGGTATATACCAAGATACACATTTAGTTGGCTAGTGAAACCTATGTGGATGATCATTAGTATGTAAAATTACCTTGTCTGTTTTCCTTGTTAATCCCATATCAACTTGCAAGTTTCAGAATGATAGTGTACTTTTACTCATTATCCTGCTCAATCTTACCAGAATTTCTCCACAGAGCAGCTGATCTTACACTGGTACCATCAGCTGCCATTGGGAGGGATCTCCAAGCAGCTAAGGTGACGTCAGGTGAAAAAACAACCTCCATCTGGTCAAAAAGTCTTTGCAAATGCACTTGTTCATTTTCTCCTCTTCATTCTTTGTTCTCAATCCATCACTTGCATCTTCTTAGTCATTTATTGCAGCATGAACTGACTACTTGTTTTTATCTGTCATTGGTTCCAGCCAACAAGATTTATCTTTGGAACAAAGGTGTAGATCATGAAAGCTTCCACCCTCGTTACCGCTCTCACAATATGCGACTAAGACTGAGGTTGGATTCTTCTGCAGTACTTGGATTTATGTATTTCCTAAATAAGCTGTGTTGAGACAATTCTCTTAATCCTTTATATTTCTGCTCTATCCAGCAATGGTGAGTCAGAGAAACCATTGATTATACATGTTGGACGTCTTGGATTTGAGAAGAATCTGGATTTCCTCAAAAGGTACAGTCTTCAATCACATACGCTGAAAACAATTGGCCGCTGTACCCTTTACATCAGTTACTTTTATCATTTGTTAAAAGCACAATCCGATGTCTTGGGCAATCAGTGCATTGAAATTGGATGGAAGTTCTTAAGGGTGACATGAGATGAAGGGATTTGAATACTTGTGTAATTAAAATCATTTTCTTTTTTCACTTTTATTCTCACCATGTATTGGAATCTTGCAAAAACTGACATATGGAAGACATGATTAACAGGGTCATGGACAGACTTCCTGATGCAAGAATTGCTCTCATAGGAGATGGGCCATACAGGTAATCATCTTGACACTAATGAGCTTAAATTGATTCTAATGTTGTCTTGACCTCCCATCTGTTTTCTCATCCTTGAGAGCTGAACTTATATGTGGCAGCCGAAACATAGAAAGGTTTAACCTTAACCAGTTCCAGGGTTATTTTAAAACAAAAATGGATTCATTTGTTGCAGAGTGGAGTTAGAAAAGATGTTCGCTGGCATGCCTGCAGTCTTTACTGGAATGTTACAAGGTGAAGAGCTATCTCAGGCATATGCAAGTGGGGATGTGTTTGTGATGCCTTCAGAATCTGAGACGCTTGGACAAGTTGTTTTGGAGGCCATGTCTTCAGGAATCCCTGTTGTGGGAGCTCGTGCTGGAGGAATCCCTGATATAATTCCTGCAGAGCAGGAGGGGAAAACTGGCTTCCTCTTTAAACCTGGAGATCTTGAGGACTGCTTGAGCAAATTGAAACCCCTTTTAAACAACAGGGAACTGAGAGAAACCATTGGCAAAGCGGCACGTGAAGAAATGGAGAAGCATGACTGGAGAGCTGCCACTAAGAAAATTCGCAACGAAAATTACACTGCCGCAATTTGTTTCTGGAGAAAGGAAAAAACTCTGCTGCTAAGACCCCTGCAATGGTTGGCAAAATGGATTTTCCCATCACCAGAAGTGAACTAAATGATGCAATATACCTCAAAGGTTGGTGAAAAACTTGGCTTTCGGCTTCAATCAAGCTCTTCCTGGCTGTGTCTGTATTTTTCTGATTGATTCTTTATAATTGATTTGATTTGTTGTACACTGTTGATATTGATTCTTCTACAATTCAACCTCATTATTTCTTATTTCAACATAAGAAATTCTGTTATGTCATTGATATTTGTAACTTAGCAATATTATAGTAGTAATGTCAACTAAAATTGTAAATTTATAATTATATATTGTAACATTAAATAAGTGTAATATATTATTAAATGAATGCATATATATTATATCACAGGTAAATTTTTAAATAAAAAAAATTAATTATCTAATCATATATCATTTTATAATTTTACAATATCATATGATATTATAATTATATTTGTTAGGTTCTCTTTGTATTTTGATGATGTTTTAAAACCATGATTCAAAAGTATTTAATCTATTTTTGTGTTAAGTGTGCAGGAAAATTAATCCAAGGTTTTTAATCTTTCCCCACGATTAGAATTAATTCATGTTCCTCCTTGTTCAGAGTTCTGGATTCGAACCAATTTATTTTGGTTCGAATCAATCTCGGACTTTTGTTTTCCGAAAATGGTTCGAAGCAATATTTCTGGCTTCGAACCAAAAATTCTGAAAAGTTAATTTTGACAGTTCAACTATCTGTTTACTCTTAATGGGTCATAGGGGATCTAAATGCCTTAGCACTTTCCAAGACAAGTTAGAAAATAAGGTGGAACCTTATTGGAGCTTTTGTGAGGTGGCTTTGAAGGGACTTTAATTGCAAGGCTCCAAATCTCTATTAAAATGACCAAAAATCAGATATGGAAAAAAATACAGAGAAAAGAAGGACGACTGCTGCAGAAAATATAGTTTGATATTGTTCTGGGTTTCCTTCTTCTTTTCTTCTTGTGAGGCTTTTGGGTATATTGTCTTACAAGGGTTTTGTATTCTTCTTGGATTGGGTTTATCCTTGAAGGAGTTGAGTGAATTGAGATTCACTTGTAACGGTTTAATCTTGCACCCGCAAGCAAGAGTTTGTTCCGGTTTAATCTTGCACCCGTAAGCAAGAGATTTCTAGTGGATTGGACTCTCGAGCAAGGAGGCTTGGGGAGTGAACGTACTCCGAGTTGGAGGAACCACTATAAATCACGGCTTGATATTATCTTCCCTTTCTTTTTATTTTTCTGCACTATATTACTTTTGTTTATTCTGCATAATAACTTATAAATTGCTAGCTGGGATTACAATATTATTTTCAAATTATGACTTAATATATCTAATTAAAATGACTCCAGAAAAAAGATTTTTTTAACACAAAAAAAAAAAGTTATTTTTTTCTTTTTATTGAAAGGGAGAATAGCTGCATAAGTAAAATTCACAATCATAAATGGAGTTTGAAAGATTTTGATTCCGTCACGTGGAAAATGACGGCTTCAAAACGCCTCGTCGTGAAATAGAACAGCCAAAACGTTGCCGCTTCAAGGTTTTACCCTCTTGAGTGTAACCCGACGGATTCGGTTCGGACTTCGGACTATCCAATATCAAGTAAACCAACAATCACCAAACACGGTTTCACTGGTGTGTAATCACTCACACAATCGCCGATACGTACTGCATGAATTCCGCGTCGTTCACCAGCCCCGTCATCGTCGCCGGCGCCAACACAACCTCCAGATCGACGCTTCCGTTTCCTTCTCTCCCCGGAAAGGCGGAGATCTTGCCGTCGAATTTGTTGGCCCTGCCACTGCGGATGGCCAGAGGTCGGCCCCAACCGAAGTCGTTATCGTACATTGGGAATCTTGGAGAGCTTCCCATGGTGATTGATGCACCGTCGAAGTTCCCTAGCGGAAACAACCGCGGGTCCCTCTCCCAATCCGCTATGCCTTTCCGCACCGTAGCGTCGCCGTGCACAACCACGTTTTCGTGGAGCAGATCCGCGCCCCATCTCAAATCCCTAGACAGCAGCTCCCCGGCCGGAGCTTTGGTCGGGATGCTCTGTATCGCGTTGCCGAAGTAGAACGCGTCAAGCCGCGGCTCGAGCCGGGGCCTGCAGTTCACGGCCATTCTAAACGTCGTAGGTTTGGACGGATCTAGCTTCCTCGCACGCGTCACCGAGCGCCAAAGCTGAGCACAGAGGGATTGAAACGACGAAATCTCCGCCGTTCGATTGGTATCATTCTTAATTTTGCCGTTAGACAAACCGTTAGCTTCGCCGCCTAAGGTTTTCCAACCGTCGTTACAGAGTTTTCCCAAAACCTCGGAATTTGATTGTTTACCCAGCAGGCTGCCGCAATTGGCTTTGTGTTTCAGCTTCAGGATTGATTCTCTGCTGAAATGAAAAATCCTCTCGCGCAAGGGCTCATCACTGGAGAAAGTGACCTTAGGCCCGCCGGGAGGGAACCTGAGCACTGCATTGGAATTGAACACGGTGCTTCGGCAGAAATCAGGGGATTTGGAAATCTTCTGAACCCCTTTGCAAATTTCAGCAAATGTATTGAAGAAATGCCAGAAAGATGTGCCGTCAGTGACGGCGTGATTAACCGTGCACCCTATGAAAACCCCATCGTTCAGCTCAGTGACCTGAACGGCAGCCAGAGGCTTGGAGTGACCGGAATAGCTCAGAGTCCTATCCAAGGTGAAGAATTCCTTGAAGCAATCAGGGACATCCTGTGGGGAAACAATATCATTAATGGAAAGATGCAAGGCTTTAACTTGAAGAAAGTCTATCCCTGCATCATTACACAGGATATGGACATGGCCATCAGGGTCAGTGTTCAACCGCCCTGCCAGCGGGGAAAAGTGAGACAGAGTGGCGGAAAGAGATTGCTTAAGGAAAACAATGAGGTCATGGAAAGAGTATGGAGGGTATGTAAGCAAAACCCCCTTTTGGATATAATGGCAAGAGAGCATAGGGAGGTCAGAAACCGAAAGCTTGAGCTTTGGGATTGTGGAGCTCTGGTCGGGTTTAATTATGGACTTAGAAACCAAAGTGACTGAGGAAGAAGAAGAGGAGGAAGGCATTTTTGAAGAATTTAAGTCCCTAGATGTTCAGAGTGAGGTGTGGGAGTGAGGAAGGGAGGGAGAAGATGAGGATTTATAGAGGGGGAGGGATGGTATTGGGATAGGGTTCGTGAAGGGTGGTGGGTGTTTCCTGCTTCTCTCCCAAAATATCAATTTATTTAAATTATGTGTAGAGCTTTTGAGATATACATTGAGTGTGACGTGGTCGGCGGTGGACGTTGAAAAGGAAGAGGAGATCTTAAAGAACAGAGGACCCTTGTTGGAGGAGGAATAGAAGAAACAGAAGAACTTTGTCCTGTTTTTTTACGAAGTTAATGTAGGAGTTTGTGCTTTCTAATAATTTATTTATCACCGAGAAAGCTGCTTCAATCTTTGATTGTTTCTTGGGAAAACTAATTCTCAGGAAACGCCTAGGAATCAGAATCAATTGATGTGCTGAATCCCATA